AATAGGATTTGAAAAGAAAAAGGGAATATGGGACACAGTCATGGGTAAAAATAAAAAGATGATTAAGCTACTATATAAACAATTACAAATATGGAATACAGAAGAAGAACAGGTAAAAGAATGCCAAATTAAATGGGCTCAAGATGTGGGCCACAGCATAATGACAAATCAATGGGAAGAAATATGGGCAACGAAAATAAAATATACTATAGCCAGCGACTTAAAAGAAAACTGGCTTAAAATGTTTCACCGCTGGCATTATACACCAGAAAAAATAGCAAAATTCAAAAAAAATTCCCAATATAAATCAGATAAATGCTGGAAATGCAGGAAGAAATTAGGTACTTATTTCCATCAATGGTGGGAGTGCAAAGAAATTAAAAAATTCTGGAAGAAAATCCACCAAGCTACACAAAAAATATTAAAAATAAGTTTTCCTTTAGTTCCAGAGACCTACTTGTTAGGAATAACAAACGACATCAAATTAAACAAAAATCAAGACAAAATTTTATTTTTATTGAGCACTGCAGCCAGAATAGTGCTAGCTAGGAAATGGAAACAAAAAGAAGTACCAACTCAAGAGGAATGGTTTATAAAAGCCTTTGATATTATTCAAATGGACAACCTATCCCAAAGAATAAATGGAGTGACCAAAAAAACGGATTGGACTGGCTTTAAGGACTTTCTAAAAACAAAGGAGATTTCAGTAATTATAGACTTGTCGAACTTCTAAAAGACGGATGCAGAAGGAACATTGTCAGCGCTTATGAGTGAATGGAATGGACTATGCTATAACAGAAGGGGAAGACTTTTTGGATGACCCTGGGAAGTCACAACAATTACGAACTGGAACTCTTGGTGATGGCCCCCCCCCCTACCCCACTCCCCTTACCCCACACCCTCACTAAGCCCCCAACCAAACCCCTTTCCCCCTAACCCTTAACCCCCTCCCCATTTCCCAATCCTGACACGGTGTGTGTATTCTGAAAAGCAATAAAAATTAATAAAAAAAAAAAAAAAGATGCAGAGCCAACCTCAAGAAATGGGGCCACAAAGTGGAATCCACGGCATGTGAGTGTGGAGAAGAGCAAACCACTGACCACCTGCTGCAATGCAACCTGAGCCTCGCCACATGCACAATGGAGGACCTCCTTGCAGCAACACCAGAAGCACTCCAAGTGGCCAGATACTGGTCAAAGGACATTTAATCAACTACCAAACTCGCAAATGTTGTATTTTGTCTGTCTGTTTGTTTTATTCTGTTAGAAATGTAATACAATTGACTGGTTGCCCTGACACAACAAATAAATAAATAAATAGATTAACAAAAGGAATGGAGAGGTATTGAAGCTGCTTTGACCTTCCAGTTACATATTGAGTCTAAAGTATCTTCAGAAGTCCATCAAAGTTCTAGCTCCTTACCATGCTTTTCTCAAAAAGCAAGAAAATATTTTTTTTATTTTCCCCTTTTTTATTTTTCCTCCTCTTCTTCTTCTTCCTCCTCCTCTTCCTCCTTCTTCCTGGAATCTAAAAGTTCTTTTAGCTCTGGAGCGCAAAACATCAGTCTGAATGGGATCTTTCTGGAATCTCCATACATGTTTTGTGTTTTCTCAGCTTCTAAAAGTTGTAAATTCCTCACCAAAGGTGTAGTAAAAGTGAGAGTAGAAGTATTAAATATACCATTACTTTTAGATCTATCCTTTTGCCTTTGAACCCCTAAGAAATTATCTGCAACTGAATTTCTCCCTTGGACTGAAGCAGGTTCTCCATCCTTGACTGGAGAAATGTCATGCCAAAGCAGAAAATCTACTATTATATCCTCCCCAATAAGCAGCTGTCCAGCGTCTGCTAAAAACCCTTAACAATGGAAGATCTAACATCTTCTGGAGTCTTTGTTCACCTTTGTAAAGGTTTCCCCTAGTCTAGTGAATTCTGACTCTGGTGGATGGTGCTCATCTCAGTTTCTAATGCAAAGAGCCGGCATTGTCCATAGACGCCTCCTAAGTCATGTGGCCAGCATGACTGCATGGAGCACCGTTACCTTTCCGCCAAAGTGGTACCTATTGATCTACTCACATTTGTATGTTTCCGAACTGCTAGGTTGGCAGAAGCTGGGGCTAACAGTAGGAGCTCACCCCGTCCCTCGGATTCGAACTGCCGACCTTCTGGCCAGCAAGTTCTGCAGCTTAGCGGTTTAACCCGTTGTGCCACCTGTGTACCATCTGGGAATTTCATCTTAATATTCATTTCCAATTCCCTTTTTGTCATTTGAACTCACTGGTTCTGGGCCTTGCCTTTAGTTAGAGCAACAGAAGACAAATAGACTGTATCTCTGTGACACATTGTCAAATTATGAGATAGCTCTCATAATTGCCCTTTAATAATTTTTCTCTCAGGTTGAACACATGTTTTTCACTCGCTCTGTTTTACTTTAGCTATACTTTAGCATTTCTTTCCGTCTATGCACAGACGATGGAAGGAAAACGATAAAGAGGAAGTGGGGCTGGGGAAAACCAGATGTTGTATCACATTGGTTTCAGAAACTGGGAACTGGTGGTGTTTAAGCAAGCAGCCTGGGGATGTCGAAACAGGAATCTCCCTTCCGGGGTTACAAGAGGTTTGGGTAAAAGGAATCCAAAACTAGGCAGAATGCCCAAGTTGAGAGAATGCAGACATTTACTATTCTATAGGCTTGAAGGAGTCTCTCTTTCCCTCTCCAAACAGTCAACAGGAAATGGGGTGAGCACCAAATAATGTGAAGGCCAATCAAATGATGAAAAGGGCCATGTTGTGAAGTGAGCCATTGGGCAGACACAGTTGTCTCAGCAGATAATGAGAGGTGACAACAGAGGCACTGGTGTGGGGAGAAATGGACTATGTGTTCTGCTCTGCATCTCTACTGCAGGCATGAGCAAACTTGGGCCTTCCAGGTGTTTTGGACTTCAGCTCCCACCATTCCTAACAGCCTCAGGCCCTTTCCTTTCTTCCCTCAGCCGCTTAAGCTGAAGCAGCTGAGGGGGAAAAGGAAAGGGCCTGAGGCTGTTAGGAATGATGGGAGGTGAAGCTGAAGCAGCTGAGGGGGGAAAGGAAAGGGCTTGAGGCTGTTAGGAATGGTGGGAGTTGAAGTTCAAAACACCTGGAGGGCCGAAGTTTGTCCGTGCCTGGTCTACTGTGTTCAAAGCTTGGAAGATTAATTTAGAGAGATTAATTTAGAGAGTATAATGACAACACAACCAGACATTTTTTTCATTGTGTTTTGGTTTTTAGGCCTGTTCCTAGGGTGATTTGGGATACCGATTTAGAAAAATTCATTGGATAGACTACATCACTTCTAGCTTCTTAGATATGGATATGATTTTATGTGGGTGAGCAGATGAAGACGGGTACCATTTTAAAAATCAGCAGCGGCATTGGTCATGCAGTACTGACAAACTATTGTTTATTTAATTTGCTCTCATTCTATATTTATTTCCAGTTATTCTAAATTTACTTCCAGTGATGAAGAAAGGTGCAAATAAGATCTATGCCTCATGTACTTACTTAGGTGATCCCTTGTAGCTCGAGGATGATTCCAGCTGTGGTGTCTTGGCAGTGGGTCCGTAGGTGGCTGTGGAGCCCTATTCTTGATCCGCATGTTCTCCTGCAGTGAGGACATCCGTTTCCAGACGGAAGGCGGTCCCGGTCAGGGTTGGGTTGGCTTGACGTGCCTTCCTCTTGGCACATTTCTCCCTTTCACCCTCCATTTGTGCCTCTTCGAATTCTGGAGCACTGCTGATTACAGCTGACTTCCAGTTAGAGTGCTCAAGGGCCAGGGCTTCCCAGTTCTCGGTGTCTATGCCACAGTTTTTGAGGTTGGCTTTAAGCCCATCTTTAAACCTCTTTTCCTGTCCACCAACATTCAATTTTGAGTTCGGAGTAGAGTAACTGCTTTGGGAGACAGTGATCAGGCATTTGGATAACGTGGTCAGTCCAACAGAGTTGATGGCGGAGGACCATCACTTCAGTGCTGGTGGTCTTTGCTTCTTCCAGCACGCTGACATTTGTCCACCTGTCTTCCTGAGATATTTGCAGGATTTTCCAGAGGCAGTGCTGATGGAATCATTCCAGGAGTTGCGTATGACGTCTGTAGACAGTCCATGTATCGCAGGCGTATAGCAGGGTTAGGAGGACAATGGCTTTATATACAAGCACCTTGGTATCCCTACGGCTGTCCCGGTCCTCGTACATGTATATAGGCAGTCCCTGAATTACAAACATCCAACTTACAAACAGCTCGTACTTATGAACAGAAGTGAGACAACAGGAAGTGAGAGAAATCTACCCCTAGGAAGGGAAATTTGATCCTGAAAGACTTATTATCATGAGGGAAAGGTGTCTCAACTGAAGCTTTCTCACCAATACTTGTTTCCACAACAAGCCTTTTTTTAAAAAATATATATATGTGGTCTCTTCTGATTCTATGATTCTATGAAGTGTTTCAGCACCAGTGAGCGGTTTAGCTGCAGTATTTTGAAGCTCCTGGTGTTTATGAACAACTTCCACTGAAGCTTTATCACCAATCCTTTTTTCCACCACAAGCCACATTTTTCACAATCCAATTCTCACAGGGACAGAAAGGGAGGTGAAATCTGAACAGGACCACAGACAACAAAACAAGCACCACAGAGGTGTTAACTCTTCCCCATGTGATCCAAAGCTAAAAAAATACAGATTTTTGGTCAGAGTTGCAGTGTAAAAATGTACCTTGCATACAACTTCAACTTAAGAATAAACCTCCAGAACCTATCTTGTTTGTAACCTGGGAACTGCCTGTATTCATGACTTTGAAACCTGTATCTTGATTACATTTTCAACAGGTTTTATTATTTGATCTAAAAGGAAACCCTAGCAACTAGATTTTTTTTAAAAAAAATAGAAATTATATCTGTTTTTAATTTATGTCAATAACTTTTATCTTTTTTTATCCTGAATCATTTATAAGCATTTTGGTTTCTCTTCAGGATCTGTTTATGAATTATCAGGCAGCGAATGCTGTTTGTCAACAGGAGATCTGATGAAAATTGTGGATGTTCAGCTTCAGAATATCACCTGCAAAAATGTGAACGATGGGCACACTTTTGAACTCCCACTGAATTTTAAAGGTATTTATACATGATCTGTGGTTGTACTAGTTTTAACTCAAGGCGAAGGTAAAAAAAGACAATGTTCAAACCGTCCCTCTTTCTTTTTTAGTCAAAAATAAACACAAATGGACTCTGATTTGGATTGGAACCACTCCATCTGTACAGAGATGGTTGAGACCTTCAGCCCCAACAATTTCTCATGGTAGAAGAGGGTTAGTCCCTGCACCACCCACTCAAATGCTCTGACTCAGATGTAAGAACTGCTCCACAACATGTTACGTATCTCAGATATGTGGATCAAAATGCATACTAGACATATGCATTAGGGGTAAACTTTGTCCTGTTTCGTGGCTAAAGTTTTGTTGACGCCCCCGATCCATTTTTTGTAAGCCTCTTGAAATTGAGAGGGTTGTTTTCGGTTCTTTTGTTTCAAGGCCCAAAAATCGGACCATTACAGAGGGGGGCTTCCCACTCACTGGCTCCATTTCCTGGTGTGTGATCTTGGCACCTGCTGTTTCCACTCTAGAGTAAGAGGTGCTCGGCTGTAGGCACTGGCAGGCACACGTGCTTTCCAGACCTGCCTGTACGCCATGCCACACACACACTCTCCTTGGAAAGACTGTGTGTGAGAGACAGGGCATGCAGGCAGGCCCGGAAAGCACACATGCCTGCCAGTGACTGCAACTGAGCTCCTCTTACTCTTGAGCAGTGGTTCTCAACCTGGGGGTCGGGACCCCTAGGGGGGTCACGAGGGGGTGTCAGAGGGGGTCGTCAAAGACCATCAGAAAACACAGTATTTTCTTTTAGGAATGGAGGTGTTAGCGGATAGAATAAGAAACAGTGCAAGGATTGAGGGGTGTAAATTTGGGCGGGGACTGGAGGCTAAATTAAATCTTTATGCAGATGACCTTATGGTGGTACTATCCAATCCCCTAGAAGGTATAAGGGAGCTAAAAATTATACTAAGTGATTACGAGAGAAATACAGGATTGAGGGTCAATATAAAAAAATCAGAAATTATGTACCTCAAAGTAGATAAAGCAGAAAAAGTGGAAATAGATAGAATAACTGAAATTGGCATGGGGAAAGGAAAAATAAAATACTTGGGAGTAACAATACAAAAAAACATAGATAAGATGAAGAAGAGTAACTATAAAGAAGCGTGGAAAAAAGTTCTTAAGACCATGAAAAGATGGAAGGAAATTTTTTTGAATATTTTTAGGAAAATAAGAGCAGCAAAAATGTTCTTAATTCCAAAATTAATGTATTTGTTTCAGGTTCTCCCACTAGAAATTAATCCAAGGCAAATAAAAACTTGGGATAGGACTATCAGAGAATGGATCTTGAGCGAAAAGAAACCTAGAATCTCAAACAAAGTATACTATATGCACCAGGAAGAATTAGGGTGGGGATTACCAAACTTGGAATTATACTATGAAACTTTCCAATTAAAGTCATTAATAGAAAACAGTGTAGAGAGAGAAGAAAAATGGTGCAGAATAGAAGATGCAGTAAACAATGGAGAAGGAAAATTTGGGAGTTTTACAGAAAATTTAGAGGCTTCCATTAAAAAAACAAGAGGTCCTAGAAGATTAGCATTAAAAATATGGAAAAAATGGAAACCACTTTGGATGCCTAATATAGTAAAGTGGACACCCCTAGAAAGCTTATATGGAAAAGAGTTTGGCCCTATATGGTGGGAAGATTTGAAATATAAAGGCTATTATTGCATTAAAGATATGTATGATATAAATGGTCAACTGATTCCCATGGACAGGATAATAGAAAAAATCGGAAATAAAAACTGGATAAAAGTTCTAGGCCTATATAACAAACTTAAACACGGGAAATATGGAGAATGTTTAGGCAAAGAAAGTGCGCTTGAAAATATATTTAAGAAAGGACAGAAGACAATGAAAGGTTTAGTAGGAGAATTATACAAAACAATGATAAAGGATGATGAATATGTAGTCAGAACATTACAAAATAAGTGGCAGAAGGAGGGGACACTCACAAAACAAACTATTGAGGAATTAAAGAAAGGGGTAAATAAAATCAAAATGGAAAAATATAAAGAATTAGAAAGGAAATTCATCTGGAAATGGTACAGGGCACCAGCTCAATTAGCAAATATAGGAACAGGATTAAGTCCAATGTGTTGGCATTGTAAAGCAGAGAAAGGCTGGTACGCACATATGTGGTGGGACTGTTTAAATGCAAAAACGTTTTGGAATAAGATAACTAGAAAAATTGGGAAAATTTTCAAAATAACAATACAAGCCAATATGGAATTTATGTTAATGGCAATCACAGGGAATAAAAATATTGATGTGAAAAACCAAAACTTATTTAAAGCAATGATTTTAGCAGGTAAGGCAGTAATAGCCTGGGGGTGGAGAGATGAAAAAAATGGAATTTGGAAAATTGGAATAATTATTTATTTGAACAAGTCCAATCAGATATTATTGAATGTATAACCCAAGAAGATTCACAGGAGGACAAAACGGAAGAAATTAAAGAGAAATGGGCAACATATATGAAATGGGTAGAAGAAGGCGAAGCCAGCATAGAAATTGTACAAAGATTGCAAAAGTTGTGTGCGTGGTTAAAAATAAAGATATAGAGAGAAATGTGGTGGGAGGGGTAGGAAAGGGTGGTGGGAGGAGGGGGGAGAGAAAAAAAAGAATGAAAATAATAATAATAATAATAATAATAATAATAATAATAATAATAATAATAATAATAAAAATGTAATATGAATAAACTTGTAAAGAATGCGAATAGATAATCTTGAAATATGTTAGTATAATGTATGCCTATAATAGACAAGTATTATCTGTTCAAATATGTTATTATTTTCTTTCTCAATAAAAAAACAAAAAAAAAGAAAACACAGTATTTTCTGTTGGTGCATGGGAAGTTTGGGCCAATTCTATCGTTGGTGGGGTTCAGAATGCTCTTTGATTGTAGGTGAACTATAAATCCCAGCAACTATAACTCCCAACTGTCAATGTTTATTTTCCCCAAATGCAACCACTGTTCACATTTGGGGATATTGAGTATTCTTGCCAAGTTTGGTCCAGTTTCACCATTATTTGAGTCCCCAGTGCTCTCTAGATGTAGGTGAACTACAACTTCAAAACTCAAGGTCAATGCCCACCAAACCCTTCCAGCATTTTCTGTTGGTCATGGGAGTTCTGTGTACCAAGGTTGGTTCAATTCCATCGTTGATGGAGTTCAGAATGCTCTTTGATTGTAGGTGAACTATAAATGAAAGCAACTACAACTCCCAAATGACATAATCAATTCCTCACCCAATCCCAGTAGTATTCAAATTTGGGTGTTTTGGGTATTTGTGCCAAATTTGGTCCAGTGAATGAAAATACATCCTGCATATTGGATATTTACATTACAGTTCATAACAGTAGCAAAATTACAGTTATGAAACAGCAACTAAAATAATGTTATGGTTGGGGGTCACCACAACATGAGAAAGTGTATTAAGGGGTCGCGGCATTAGGAAGGTTGAGAAACACTGCTCTAGAGTAAGATGTGCTCAGCTACAGGTGTGCTCTGGGCCTGCCTGCACGCCCTGCCACACATGCACTCTCTTTTCAAGGCAAGGAGGCAAGTTTGGATGCAGGCTTTCATGTCAAGCAAATTTTTGTATGGGGAGGGGCTTCCTGTTTGTGCTTCCAAAAAAAATAGAAGACACGAAACAAATGGTAGAAACGGTAGGTATGGATTTTGTGCACATGCTTAATGTGTCTTATGTTCAAATTATTCAGGTTCAGTCACTGGCACCAGATCAAAGGACTGGGTGTGGGGAGCCTTTTGGCATTAGATGAGGAAAAAAATAATCCATATCTGAAAAAAGCTGGAAAGTTGCAGATAGACAAAGTAGAAAACAGTAGTTTAGACCAGGGGTCCCCAAACTGAGGCCCATGGCCCGAATGTGGCCCTCCAATGTAATTTACCTGACCTCCTATTTAAACCTTAGCCTTAGGGTCGTCTAACTTTGAAATGCCTTCAAGGTGCACAACAACAACAATTCTAATTAACTTGACTATCTCATCAGCCCAAAGCAGGCCCACACTTCTCTTTGAAAGACTAGGTATGTTTATGTTGGTTAATTCTTCATTTTAAAATTTGTATTGTTCTTTCATTTGTTTTGAACTGCAAATAAGATATGTGCAGTGTGCATAGGAATTTGTTCAGGTTGTTTTCAAGCTATAGTCTGGACACCAAAACTGAACCAGCCCTCTTGCTATAGAGCTTTCCGATGGTTTGCATTCTGTAGGTCAGTGTTTTTCTCAGCACGTCCTATGAGAAAACTGTAGGGGCTGTGGATAGCACAGCGACTTAAACCACCAGCTATAGAAAATCTTGTCAGTTCAAGCCCGTGGCAGTTCAAGCCATGGATTGGGGTGATCTCCCGCCGTCAGCCCTAGCTTCTGTTTACTTAGCAGTTCGAAAACAGCAATGTGAGTAGATAAATAGGTACTGCTGTGGCAGGGAGGTAAAAGGCACCCCTGTAGACATGCTGGCAATTCAATCTGGATCATGGACAACAGGCTCCTCATGAAACAACAGCACCTCCCCATGGCCGAGTCAAGCACAGCCTCCAGATGCCGGAAATGAAAAAGAGGGAAGCCTTGCCTCTGTCGATGTATTGTTTGTCTTTGTTCATTGTATAGCAGCATTTAATGTTTGCCATTTATGTATACTGTAATCCACTCTGAGTCCCCTTGGGGAGATAGAGCGGAATTCAAGCAAGCTTTCACAAATGCAGCATAACAGGTAAATATGGAACTATGAAATGACTGGATTATGCAACTGGAAAATGATTATTTATTTATTTATTTATTTGCAGTATTTATATTCCGCCCTTCTAACCCCGCAGGGGATTCAGAGCGGATTACAATGTACATATACATGGCAAACATTCAATGCCCTAGACACACAACATATATAAACAGACACAGAGGCAATTTACCATTCCAGCCTTTCTTGAGGGTATTCTGGCCACCAGGGGAGCTGTTCCTTCACCGACCATTTGTGACACTGATGAAGTACTTCCTCATTCTTTGCATGCTTGCTGGAGATTTTTTATGGCCTCGTAAATTAGTTAAATTTGCCTCCCCGCATAGTAAGGAGACACTGATGATTTAAGTTTTTGTTGTGTTTTAGTAGTTTTGTATGGTTTTTTATATTTATGTTAAATGTTTTAATTGTATTTTTATGTCTGTTGGGGCATCCAAATGTTGCCAACCGCCTTGAGTCGCCTTCAGGCTGAGAAAAGCGGTATACAAATACTGTACACAATAAATAAATAAATAAATAAATAAATAACTTATTGTTATTATTATTTCACCAGAGCTTTAAAGCGGGCAGCCTCACACATCTGCTGCCTGCAGAATTCTATAGTTTGGGAAGGTGAGGATCTCTGTCGCTGAGAATTCAAACTACATTTCCCAGAAAACTACATTTCCCAGAATTCTGCAGGTGGCAGAAATGTGGGGCTGCCCGCTTTAAAACCCTGGTGTGATAATGTGGCTAGCGTTGAACCTCAGCAGGTAAGTTCTGAAAGTGAAATTAAGAACTCTCTGCTCTTGCAATCCCTGTTCTTTAGGTCTCTTTGAACCCAGCCAAGACCCTCTGTATCGAAAGCAGAAGAAACTTTTCTCCTCCACAAGCTCTTTCTCCAAGGCCAGCTACAAGCAAAAGCTTTACACGCTCCAAGAAATTTTGCAATCAGAAGACCTATGGCAGAAGAAACTGAAGTGTTCTGAAATTGGCAGCGGCGAGTTTGAAATGTATCCTGTGTATAAAGTCGAAGCAATAATGCACTGTAAGTATATGAGACGAACTAGACATCTTCTAAGCTGGGAAGATCAGGAGCAGGATTGAACTTGCCCTTTGCCAGGAGAGCTTCCTTATCCTTATAGGTTTCGGGGTCATAGGTTTCAGGCAATTTAAGGCTCTATTCTTTGTTCCATGTTTGTTTTCAGAATATTTGGACTTACCTTTGTTTGTCACAGCCTCATGGCAATTTATATGAATTGTAGAAATTTCTATAAAATATGTTTAAAATACCCTAGGCTCTAAATCAGAGCAGCAACTGGAAAAAAAGGAAGTAATGGTTGGAGCCAGGAATTACCTCTGGAGAGAAAAGAGAACTCAAAGTTCTGCTTCCTGTCATGCAATCTGATGGAAAGGAAGATCTCCACAGCTATAGAATTGCCAGATTGAAATCTGGAGAGGTTTGTGTATCTTTAATGGTTATGCAGAAGTGGTTCCTGTAAATTAATGGTTATGCAGAAGAGAGAAGTACAGCAAGAGGTTGCTTCTCATGCAACCACGTAACACCTGTTGAGGTTCCCTCTTGCAAGGTATAGGAATTGTCTCTAGTGTTCTGATAACCTTATGTTGCAATGATGACAACAGGAAGTGACATCAACTGTTTTGTCTGAGATACAACATCTGAAGAGGAAGGGGAGGGAAATTTTCCCTCAATATCCACATAATTGCCTCTGCATTATGCTAATGAAGTGGGTTACTTCTTGAACTGAAATTTTGTTACGTCTGTTGGAAACTAGGGAATGGGGTTTATATATCTGTGGAATGTCCAGGGTGGGAGAAATAACTGTTTTCTGTTTGAGGTAGCAGTGAATGCTTTAATTGGCCACGTTGATTAGCATTGAATGGCCTAGCAGTTTCAAGGTCTGGCTTCTTACCACCTGGGGGAATCCTTTGTTGAAAGGTGATTAGTGAGCCCTGATTGTTTCTTGTCTGGCTATTCCACAGATATATAAACCCATTTCCCTAGTTACCAACAGACCTCACAATCTCTGAGAATGCCTGTCATAGATGCAGGCAAAACGTCAGGAGAGAATGCTTCTGGAACATGGCTATACAGCCTGGAAAACTCACAACAACCTAGTGATTCTGGCCATGAAAACCTTCAACAATATGTTAAAGGAAGTGTTATTATTAGTTCAATGGTTTTTTTTCTCTTCTCTCTCTTTGGGAATTTTACTGTCCTTTAGTGATGCTGGCTGAACTTAAGCGTTTTATTGTATATTCCTCTTTGTGCGATATTGTTGTGCCTTGCCTCACAATGTTATATTATGAAAGGGCAATACAGAAATGTTCAAATGTCAGTAGCAACTCAGATAAAAATAGCAAACCAGGCAGTTAAAACAGTGACAATTTGAATTACATTTGAGTTGAGTGTAGAGTGACCATTTAAAAAAATGAAAAAATGAAAATGCATTGCAAGAAACTGGACAGAAGCAAATATGATTTGCATGCATTGTATTGTGTATGCACTTTTCCCCCCATAGTTTTTATTGGAGCTTTATGCATTTTCAAACTTACTCTCACAAATCAGATTGCTTTGGTAAGAGGTATGTGGCTAAAGTTTACTATTTCTTTCTTCTAAAGTATGACTTGCCAATCAGTGGGTTTCTCTGTTTGAACAGGAATTCAAACACTGGGCTCCTGCAATCCTAGCCCACCTCACTTTACCTAATGCAGTGTTTCTCAACCTTCTTAATGCCACGACCCCTTAATACAGTTCCTCATGTTGTGGTGACTCACAACCAGAAAAATATTTTTGTTGCTACTTCCTAACTATAATTTTGCTATGAATCGCAATGTAAATATCTGATATGCAGGATGTATTTTCATTCACTGGACAAAATACCTAATACGCCCAAATTTAAATACTGGTGGGGTTGGGGGGAATTGATTTTGTCATTTGGGGGTTGTAATTTCTGGGATTTATAGTTCACCTACAATCAAAGAGCATTCTGAACTCCACCAACAATGGAATTGAATGAAACTTGGCACACAGAACTCCCATGACCAACAGAAAATACTGGAAGGGTTTGTTGGGCACTGACCTTGAGTTTTGGAGTTGTAGTTCACCTACATCCAGAGAGCACTATGGACTCAAACAATGATAGATCTGGCATGAATTCACAATATGTCCAAATGTGAACACTGGTGGAGTTTGGGGAAAATAGACCTTGACATTTGGAAGTTGTAGTGCAGGGATTTATAGTTCATCTACAATCAAACAGCGTTCTGAACCCCACCAACAATACAATTGGGCCAAACATCCCACACAGAATCCTCATGACCAACAGAAAATACTGTGTTTTCTAATGGTCTTTGGTGACCCCTCTGACACCCCCTCATGACCCCCCAGTGGTCCCTACCCTTAGGTTGAGAAACACTGACCTAATGGGTAGGCCAGCTTGCCCTCAATAACCCTCAACAATGTGGCGCTTTTCCTTTCAGATAGAAATGATGTTGTGAAGATCAACTCTATGCTGGATGTTGAGGTGATTGACATCACAGAAGAGTCTCAGCACATCCACTTCATCAAACCACTGATGCTGAGTGAAGTCCTGACTATGGACAAAGTGTTGCCAGTAGAGGCTGAAGTCCTCGGGGCTCCAGAGTGCCCACCTGTCTTCCAAAGTGACTGGATGTCCTACCTATATAAGGGCTGTAGGATTCACATTCACAACCAAGTGTCATCATGGAAGATCCTGGCCACTTCCCGGAAGAGTAAGGGCCGTACTGGCCATTTCCTTATCTCTAGCAACTACAAAGGCCGTTTCCGTCAGTATCCACGCCAGTTCTCTTCTACTTCAGAGCTAGTCCCTGCTTTAGCCACAACCAAGAGATTGCAAGTAGTGGTCACAAAGGACTGCGAAAGCAGTGATGATGATTGTCCCTTGTTAAGCATAGGGGATCGGCTAGAGTTGCAGAGCCTTGTCAGCGCCAGGAGCCCTTCAGTGATGGATACATTGGTGTGCCTTCGGGACAATGGAGATGAGGACAGGGAGTTTATTCACTTGCCCCTGTTCTTGGAAGCTGGCTTTGTGGAGGATATTCGTGACAAGAGGAAATATACACTTGCTGAAGCAGTTGAACATCTCCGCCTGCCTTGCGAGGTAAAGCTTGTTGCTGGTGATGGTGCTCTTGACCCGCTCAGCACCGGCTCTGTTCTTACCTTGGAGACCCAGATCAAAGAAGCCTTTCTGACAGTCAGCTTGGCTAATGAGCCAGATGTCATCTTTGAAATCCCACCCAAGTGGCTGGACATGTCTCTCTTCTTCACTGGAGGGCCAGTGAGAGCCACACCACCCAGCAGCATTCCCAGCGTAGAAGAGCTGACCGAGACCTTTTATTATGACTTGCTAAAGCAGTTGCCCAACAACGCAGCAGCACCTCCAAGACCTCCGAAGCGAATGAATTCCACACTCGAAAGGCGTCACCAGAAGACCACAGAAGGGGAAAAAGCTAAAGAAGCCTTTAAGGTATGAGATGAGGGGAATGGGGGCAGAGCGGAGAAAGTGGAGTCGCTGCAAGATATGTCAAAGTAAAGCAGAAACACTAGCAGATGGTATGATTGATTAAAGTATTAATATACTCTCAAGTGAGGATCTCAGGATTGAATACAATAAACATATTTTAAATAATTAAAACAGATTAAATAAGTGATTACACAGCCCAACCAAAAATATGCTTGGTGTTTTGGTTCTTTGGTTCTTTGGGGTACTGATTCAGAAATCATGGGATAGACTGCATCAACTCAATAATAATAATAATAATAATAATAATAATAATAATAATAATAATGTGGTCCCAGTGGTGATCGGCACACTGGGTGCAGTGCCTAAAGACCTTGGCCTGCACTTAAACACAATCGGCGCTGACAAAATTACCATCCGTCAGCTGCAAAAGGCCACCCTACTGGGATCTGCACGTATTATTCACCGATACATCACATCGTCCTAGACACTTGGGAAGTGTCCAATGTGTGATCCAATAGAACAGCCAGCATAGTGATCTTGTTTGCTGTGTCCTAATATTCCAAATAATAATAGTAACAAGAACAAGAACAACAACAACACTTTGGGGCCTGGGGCTTTAGCACAGCTGGAAAATCATCAGCAATGATAAGATCTGTCAACCAAAAGGTTGCAATTTGGAAGCTCTGGGTCGGCATGAGCACCTGACTGTCAGCCCTGCTCACTGTTTACCTAAGCCGTTCCAAAACAGCTTACAGCTAGGATTAGAGAAATTAGGTACCGCTAATGCAGGGGTGGTATTTTACAACACCATAAAGAAAAAGATCAAAGAATACTGGTGACCAAAAGGAAGGAGGAAGTCCTGATGGCTCTTTGTCATAGAGGATGGAGCGACAGCACCCCCCTGTGGCTAGTAACTTCCAAAGGCACCAACAAACTGGATGTTCAACTGGATGTCAATACAACACAATATACCTCTTTTCTGTTCTGTCTTTTTTTTTAATGGTGTCATAAAATACCTCCCCTGTTTGTTTTTTAGCGGTACTTAATTTCTCTACTTACAGCTCAAGCTGTTTTTGAACTGCTTAGGTAAACAGTAAGCTGGGCTGACAGAGCTCAGAATTACTCAGTTCCAACAGTATGCGTATTTTCACAGGATGATCCTGAGTGGTTCCTATTGTTATATTAGAAATTAGACACAACAAGCCTTGATCAAGAGACAGAGAGCAGGCAGGTTTGAATGGAGCAGCCTCCTGGTCAGGGCTTCTGGGAATGGCATCAAATTGAAACACAACAGATTTCTACTGACCATCTGTGAACATGCATCACTACTTGCAGAGTCACTTGAAGCACACTTTCTAGAGCCTATCAAAATGTTGGAGCCTGCAAAAATAAGATTAAAATTTCAGGCATTGGTAAGAAAACCAAAAAATCAAAATAAGAATATTTGGAACAGATCCATAGAAGTTGATAGGATAGCTTTGGAAAGATGTATTGTCCATGCCTAGTGGTATGTTAGGGCAAGGTGGGAAATCAAATGCAAGAGTGGCCCTGCTGGTTTGGAGACAGCATATCTGAATGTGATTCGTCTTATAATAATCTACCTTGTGGTTCTATTTTCCTGTACCAGCGCCAGTTCAGTAAATCTCAAGATTCTGCAAGATTTCTTGGACCAAAATCAAGAAGTGCAGACCACCTTGCCCTGATCGACCCAAATGAGTACACCATTGAATATGGACCTGAAAGACCCCAGAAGCCTACCATACCTTGCAAACCGACAGGTATGATCAGCTCCATCTCTTACAGGGCAAGCAAATTGTGAGCACTCAATGTATAAAAATAACACCTTTTTAAAGGCAAAGATTAAAAGTAAGGAGAAGGATGCCAAATCAGCAGTATAGCGCATTTTTCACATGAAAGGCTCCAAATTGAGCAGCCAAAGCAATCAAGTGGTTGGTGTTATGGGACCCTAAAGGCTGATAGTCAAAGGAAACAAGATTGCGCTAAATGGACAAATGGGCTACAATGTTGATGACGACACACTGTACATCCCTTCTTATCTGTGCTTTCTCCATGTATGGAACCTAGTGGTGACTACACAGGGATGCTTACTTTGCAGACATTGTGAAAGGATCAAGTACCAATTCTGCAATACTAATTTTCCCTCCTCATTGAATCTGAGAGGACATGAGAGAAGCCTCCCACAGGATGAGAAACCTCTCATCGGGAGACATGAGAGAAGCCTCCCACAGGATGAGAAGCCTCTCATTGGGACAGGAGAGAAGCCTCCCACAGGATGGCAAAACATCCAGGCGTCCTCTGGGCAACGTCCTTGCAGACGGCCAGTTCTCTCACACCAGAAGCAACCTGCAGATTCTTAAGTCACTCCTGACACGAAAAAATTGAAACTGTTAGAAATGGTGCCTTCAATATCCCACTTTTAAGAATCTCCCAGCAGTTATGAACTTTCTTCTCATTCAGTATTCCTGACCACAGGATCACACCCAGTATTTCCCAGTGTACTGAATTCACCTTCTTAAAGTCTAGAATGTGTTTCTGGCTATGTCTGGCTTCCCCTTTCTGCTTTATAACAAACTTCAGAACATGGTCACTCCCATGTAAGGATCCTACCACTTCCACCTGATTATCCAGTACTGGATAGGGTGATTCTTCCACTATCTGGGCGATGTAATTCGTCTAGAATTGGCAGAAGTAATGCAAGGCAAGTGAGGAATTTGTTGGGCCTGATATTATTGGTAGAGTTAGGCTTCCAACAAATATTAGGTGAATTGAAATCTACTACTACATCACTCCTTTCTGCACCCAAGTTGATTGGGTCTTTATAGTGGACGCATACACTAGCATCCTTGTTACTTCTCTCCTCCTACATTTTACACTTGGTGGTTTAATGTTATGGAGCTGTTCAGCAGTGGAACTCTCTGCCCCGGAGTGTGGTGGAGGCTCCTTTTTTGGAGGCTTGTAAGCAGAGGCCGGATGGCCATCTGTCAGGGGTGCTTTGAATGCAATTTTCCTGCTTTTTGGCAGGGAGTTGGACTGGATGGCCCATGAGATCTCTTCCAACTCTAGGATTCTGATTTATCTTCACAGGTGTAAAACTTGATATATAATGCTGCTCCCCATTTCTTGTTTAGTCTATTTCTCTGAAATAGGTTATACCTGTTACTACCTTGCAGTCATCAGGCTCATCCCACCAGGTTTGAATGATGCCTATTGTATTTGCTTTACTGTATTGGGAGTTCAAGTTCATCTTATTTTCCATGCTCCATGGTTTAGTGCAGTGACACCGAAGACCATGAGCCATTCCTCCTAGCTGCTTAAGTGTTTTCTCTCTCCCAATTGGGTTCCTGTACTATTTATTTGTCCAGTTCTGTCTCCAGTACTTTGTGAACTCTTGGCCTCCAGAATATTGTCTCTTTCCCCTCCTCCATACCTCGATCTTACCACCCTTATCAGATTTGATAAACCCTTAGCAAAAATGCTGTGAGGTGTGACCCATCACTTGCCAGATATCTGTCTTCATGAACTGCTGGGAAGGTTTATGGATTCTACTTGGGGCAACCTCAGTGAACAAGCTGAAGTTGTAGCATGTGATATTTCATAGGGACAACCACCTGCCAAATAAGTTGTGGATGTAGCATATCTGGATTTCATTAAGGCCCTCAATAATGTCCCCCATGATCTTCTGGCAAAAAAAAAAAAAAAAAAAAAAACCTAGTCAAATGTGGGCTAGGCAAAACTAAGGTTAGGTGTATCTGTAATTGGTTAAGTGAACAAACCTAGAGGGTGATTCTCCCCAACGCTTCCTCTTCATCCTGGATAGAAGTGACAAATGGAGTGCCATCAGCAGGGTTCCGTCCTGGGCCCGGTTCTGTTCAGCATTTTTATTAATGACTTACATGAAGGGTTAGAAGACATGATCAAGTTTGCAGGTGACACCAAATTGGGAGGCATAGCCAATACTCCAGAAGACAGGAGCAGAATTCAAAATGATCTTAACAAATTAGAGAGATGGTCCAAAACTAGCAAAATGAAGTTCAACAGAGACAAATGAAAGATGCTCAACTTAGGCAGAAAAAAATGAAATGCAAAGATACAGAATGGGGGGTGGCCTGGTTCGACAGCAGTACTTTTAAAAAAATCTTGGAGTCCTTGTAGACAACAAGTTAAACATGGGCCAACAATGTCATGCGGCAGCTTAAAAAGCCAATGGGATTTTGGCCTGCATAAATAGGAGTCTAGTGTCTAGATCGGTGGTTTCCAACCTGTGGGTCCCCAGATGTTTTGGCCTTCAACTTCCAGAAATACTAACAGCAGGTAAACTGGCTGGGATTTCTGGGAGTTGTAGGCCAAAACACCTGGGGACCCACAGGTTGAGAACCACTGGTCGGTCTAGATCCAGGGAAGTCATGCAACCCCTTCTATTCTGCCTTGGTCAGACCACATCTAGTCCAATTCTGGGCACCACAACTGAAGGGAGATGTTGACAAGTTGGAATGTGTCCAGAGGAGGGCAACTAAAATGATCAAGGGTCTGGAGAACAAGCCTTATGAGGAGCAGCTTAAAGAGCTGGGCATATTTAGCCTGCAAAAGGGAAGGCTTTGAGAAGTCATAGAGACAATGTATACAGATGTGAGGGGAAGTCATAGGGAGCAAGCTTGTTTTCTGCTGCCCTGGAGACTAGGACATGGAGCAATGGCTTCAAACTACAGGAAAGGAGATTCTATCTGAACATTAGGAAGAACTTCCTGACTGTGAGAGCTGTTCACCAGTGGAACTCTCTGCCCCTGGGTGTTGTGGAGGCACCTTCTTTGGAGGCATTTAAGCAGAAACAATGTGAGTCCCTCTGCAGAGGTTGAAAAGACCAGGATATAAAAGTTCTGAATAAATAAATGTAAATAAGAGGCAGGATGGCCATCTGTTGGAGATGCTTTGAATGCAATTTTTGTTTCTTGGAAGGGGGTTGGACAGGATGGCCCATAAGGTCACTTCCAACTCTATGATTCCAAGTCTTGGTTCAAAGAGCAATTGTATTCTTCCCCACATTTCTCAAGTCACCATATGGCTGTTTAAGCATTTGGTTGTTTACTGCTTGATCGGATTTTTTAAATTTATAGTTATTACTGTACATCACTGTCACAATTTTTTTAAATGACTTTTTTTTCTTGCATAGCTTTCCCCGATGATCCTGACCACGACTATGAAGAAATTAATGAAGAGGTGAAAGGAATTGTTCACAAAATGGGAAGAACTTTTATTAAACACTGAAACACTTCTTTCCAAAGTCCCAATGTTCTCAGAACACCAGGAGTTTGCAGATATCCTTCACATCTCTAGGTTTTACCATGAGAAGAATTTATTTCATTATTATGGGTCCCTGAATCAGTAAAGCGAAAGCTAGAAGTAAGCAAGATTCAACTTTACAGAACCTAGGCCTCAATAGGAGAAAACGGTGAAGGATCCTTGCTTAATGGGATTCAGAATCCCAGACACATTGTCACATTAAAGAGCTACAAATGAAGGAAAATGATAAAATATGTAGATTCCATGCTGGATTTTTACTTTTAGCAAGTTTGGTTAGATAGAAGACTAGTTCAAAACTACAAGGATTAATTGTGCTTGGCACCACTCATTTTCTGCAGTTATATTAAAATACAAATCTTTCCTGTTAGTTGCATTTCAAGTCTAGAATCAATGGATTTTAAAATGACATTTTTGCACCCTAGCAAATACATATGCAAATAGTTATGTACATATTATGCACAATTGCAGTGTCTCCATGTCTGCACAAAAATTTGCTGATGAAAAGCAAAGCCTATTGATTCTGCAGCTCGTAATGTTTACAGTAGTTACTACAAAGAGCAATTTAAGAGCAAACAGATGTTTTACTAATAAAAAGCAGGATTGCCCATGTTCAGATAATTAAATCTAAAGTAGATGCCCAAACTATGAATTTGCGGCACATCTATAACTATAGTAAAGGTATTCCTCTGACATTAAGTCCAGTCTGACTCTGGGGGTTGGTGCTCATCTCCATTTCTAAGTCGAAGAGCCGGTGTTGTCCGTAGACACCTCCAAGATCATGTGGCCAGCATGACTGCACCCTACTGACTCTTAGCTATGTAAAATAATTGCATAGTACATCTATTTCTGTTTTTTTTTTAAACTATTCTTAAGCCTTTGACTGTCTATCTGGATCATAATAAATTGCGGCAAGTTCTTGGTGGTATGGGGATACCAAGTCACCTTGTCTGTGTCCTGAGGAATCTGTATAATGACCAAGTAGCAACGGTAAGAACAGACCATGGAACAACAGACTGGTTCAAGATTAGGAAAGGAGTACGGCAGGGCTGTATACTCTCCCTATCTATTCAATTCTGAGAGTACCTTGGACCACAAGATCAAACCTGTTCATACTCCTGAAATAATGCCTGACTGTTCACTGGAGGCATGGATATTAGAGGCAAAGATGAAGTACTTTGGCCACATAAGAGAAGGTACAATAGCTTGGAAAGGATAATGTTGGGGAAAAGGGAAGGAAAAAGGAAGAGGGGCCAACCAAGGGCAAGATGGATCGATGTAATCCTTGAATTGACTGGCTTGATGCTGAAGGAGCTGGGGGTGGCGACAGCTGACAGGGAGACTAGGATGTGGAACAATGGCTTCAAACTACAGAAAGGAGATTCCACCTGAACATGAGAAAGATCTTCCTAACTGTGAGAGCTGTTCAGCAGTGGAACTCTCTGCCTCAGTGTGGTTCGTTCGTTCAGGAAGTGACTGAACATCTAAACAATAACAACTCTCTCCAGCAAAGGAAAAAGACCAAAACAACATCAAAAAATATATTTATTTCAGGTATCAGAGGTTTCTCGAAATAAGGCCACTGTGCACTGAAATGCAGTAGTGAACGTGCTTCTTCAGTATGATCAAAAATAATTTTTTTCTGATTATTGTACTTATTAAAGCAAACTGAAGTTGAAATAAAATTCCAAAGTGATGTCAACATATGCATCATTTTTTACTCTAATCTAAACTGAATCCACTTGGTCTGTAAGAGTGTCCTTCAGAAATACTGTTAGGCCCGATGCAACCATCATGATCCCAGTCCACTACAGAGCAATCATTATTATGGAACTAATACTTAGTCGGCATCTGTAGATTTAAAGTGCTCATCATCGACTGTGGAATAGATATGTCCCTCGCTGCTAAGAAACTCAACAGCTTTCCTAGATGGAAGGAGAGAAAAAAGGAGGAAAGATTTGTTTTTCCACATAATATAGTTGTATTTTATGGTTTGCGTATTCCCTTTCCTCAAACACAAAATATTTTTCTTTAGTGTGAATGAAGCTGAAATGGGGAGAAGAGGTAGAACTACCAAACTGTCTTAATATTTAAGGCCCAAGATGGCTTTTTTAATGAGTTTGCTCTTAATTCCACTGAAACTTGACTATGTTGAGTGTGTGCTCATTAGGGTCCGTTTTGATTATACAATCAACCCTACATATTCATGGATTCTGAATTCATATGTTCCACCATTGCTGGCTTGAAAATATCCCTCCTAAAAGCAAACTTTTGATTTAGCTATTTTCTTATTAGTTCACCATGGTATATAACGGGTCTTCAGCATCCCACAATTACGGTATTCATAGGAGGAAACAGCTTGTATACAAAGTGCAATGGATACCAAGGGCACATAAAAGAAAACAGTATGCATCCAAAGCGCAATGGATCCCAAGGGCCAACTGCACATGCACTGAATTGAAAGAGAGAAAGCCAGTGACTATTATTCTCACTTTTGGTCTCACATGATAACACAAAGCAAATGGAATATTATACTCATCTAACGCTATTGATACATCCAAATATACATAGAGTGTTCCCTTGCTATATTGCGGTTCGCTTATTGTGAACTTGCTGTTTCTGGGTCTGCAATAAGCGCGGGGGGGGGGGGGGGGGAGGGGGAGCCAGACCCTAGGCCTTACCCTGGGCCCACTTGGCAGTGGCCTCGTCCTCTTCACTGAGTTTGCTGCTCACCGCCTCGGAGGCCAACAACTTGCCCAAGAGGCCTCCAAGGTGGCGAGCAGCAGACTCAGTGAAGAGGACGAGGCCGCTACCAGGTGGGCAGAGCGTCCTTTGCGGATTTTTACTTATTGCGGGGGGGGGGGGGGGGGGGTGGTTGTCCTGGAACAGATCACCTGCAATAAGTGAGGGAATACTCTAATGAGAAAAGATGAACTTTCCTCAAATGCATTTTTAATCTATACTGTTTTATTTATACTATAGCCTATTTTTAAAAGGCTATAATATAAATAAAACAGTATAAAATAAATAGCAATAAAAAGGCTGGTTGGAAGTTGAACATTAGAGTGGCAATCTCCATTAGGTGTGACATTACTGAAGGAAGATACATGACACTAAGTAAAGGGGCAGCTCTCTTTTTTAAGAAGTTCCAGCTAATTTTGAGTACATACTTCAGTGTCGGCAGATTCATATTATGTAACTGGGATTTCAGATCTTGAAGACTTATCCCTTCTGTCGTTGTACAGTTTTTAATCAAATTCAGGACCTTGAAAAAGCAAAAATTCAGACAGTGTTATTCAAACACAAATAGCAATAATAAATTTTATTTATTAGCCCTTTGGCCATATCACAATACCAAACCAAACCAAACAAAAAGGCCTAATAAAACTTTTGTGAACAATGCCTAGCAGAAGGCCCATTATACCATTTATTTCACAGTGAAAGGATGCAATTAATTTCTCCTGTTATCAGGATGAACATTCTTCAAAAAATATACAAAAAATATTTTAAGCTTTTAGCTACCATGATTAAAAAAATAAGAAAAGGCAACATTTCTAAATATATCAGCTTCATCTCATAGAACTTTGACATATTTAAGAAAAGGGACATCTAACAGTTAAGTCTGCACAAACTGAGAAGGCAATTTAAGGTTCTTCTGTATAATAATAAGGTTTAAACAGAAATAATATAATACACCTATTACCTCCTCCTTGCAGCTTTAAACAGAAGCCTTTTATATATTATAATAACACGTTTGATAACAATAATTCTTATTTACTGTTTTTATTACTGTTTAAGCCTTTATTAGGGTATGGACCAAGCAGGACATTATTCTGTTATTCTTCTTTATAATAATAAAAATAATTAATCTTTATTGATATCCCACTTTTCTCCCTAAACGGGACCCAAAGTGGCTTACAACATTATATAAAAGACCATACAAAACAATATGCATATGTAAAATAACAACCTATAAAAACAAATTTACAATAAGAAATAAATAAACATATTTAAAAACATTTGTCTAACACAATTATTGCAGCCAACTCAACAAGACAGATGGTAAACATCAACACGACTCAATAAAAATTAGCCTTGCTGTCATTACAACTAATTGTCTTCATCAAAAGCTTGCGTGAGCAGGAAGGTCTTTAGCTGCTTTTTAAAAGACGTCAAGGAAGGGGCTGTTTGAACTTCCTTGGGAAGGGAGTTCCAAAGAGTTGGAACTCTTTGTTGCTCTCCTTTAACAGGAAAGCAACATGGCAGTCACCTGCTTTTAAAAAACGCTGGACACATCAAGGATTTTGACAAAGTCTATCTATGAATTATAATGTAGACCAGTGTCTGCCTGCTTTTGTAGCTTCAATAGGGAGAGCAAATAGTTCAAAGCCAGGAGCTGGCAATTCTCAGTCCTAAATCTAATGTTACTTCCAACTAAATAAATCCATGAACTGGGACTTAGGATAAATACTGACTCTCTCAATACTGTGTTGATCCTATGCATTCCCCACCAAGAAAGAACACAAGACAGGATATTCTGACTTGTCACTGGGATATCTACCTGACTCTGATGCAGCGTCAGTCCGCCCGCTGGCATGGAATCATTTCCTCCATAGCTTGACATGCTACCCATCCCTTGCATAGGAAGTGACTCCGGCATCTTCGGAGACTGAAATACAGAAAAAAGACATAATCATTAACGTCAATAATTCTGCACATGTGAAATTAAGTTTTAGCATTGAAGAAGAACCACATCAGCTTTCCTTAACCTGGGGTTCGGGACCCCTGGGGGTTTCAGAGGAGTCATCAAAGACCATCAGAAAATATATTTCTGATGGTCTTAGGAACCCCTTTGACTGAGAAGACTGAAGATCTCTCCGCCTGCTCTTCTATTCCTTTTTGGAAATCGACGGGAATCCTCCTACCAAAAGCCCTCCTCCTCTGTGATTGGCCGGCCTCCCAGCCAAGAGGGCTGTTTCTGAGATTCCAAGCGGGGAGGAGAGAGGAGGCATGCTCAGCGCATGGCAGCATGGTGTGCATGTGCGGGCGAGGAAGAGCATGCGAGCCTGGAAGGAGGCTCATGCTAGCGAGTCCCTTCAAGGCATGGAGGGTTCTGTGTAGAAAGTTTGGCCCAATTCTATCATTGGTGGGGTTCAGAATGCTCGTTGATTGTAAGTGAACTATAAATCCCAGCAACTATAACTCTAAATAAATCAATCCCCCCAACCCCATCAGTATTCAAATTTGAGCATATTGGGTATCTGTCCTAAATTTGGTCCAGTGGTTGAAAACACATCCTGCAAATCAGATATTTACATTACAAGTAGTAACAGTAGTAAAATGGCAGTTATGAAGTAGCAATTAAATAATTTTATGGTTGGAGGTCACCACAACATGGGGCAATGTATTAAGGGGTCGCGGCATTAGGAAGGTTGAGAAACACTGGTCTAAATTAATATTTTGAAAGTTAGTTGAATTAGATCCAAGCTAGCTGTAACAGTATAACCCCTTGTTGCTAAAGCTTTCTCTGCTCAATGTTTTGCTCTTCAGGGAAGCTCAGAGTGTGCCTTGTTTTGACACGTACCATTTGGGCCTTTCTGAGAATCATGTGTGCATTGACAACTTCAAGCAAGTGTGTAGTGAACTCATTCATGTCCTCCAGCGGCATGATCTTGAAAGCAACAAGGCTCTTTTTGTTCTGTCAGAAAGGAAACAGAAAGTAAGTCAATCAATTACCATTTACAAAATGAGTTCTAAACATTCTAATCCAGATATGACCCAACTTGGGCCTTCCAGGTGTTTTGGACTTCAGCTCCCACAATTCCTAACAATCTCAGGCCCCTTCGTTTTCCCTCTCAGCCGCTTACAAGGAACAAATAGTGAATGTCTGCATTAGTGCTTACATATGTGCTTTTACAGATGTCTTTAACTGTGTTATGTCCCACCTCAAGCCAAAAGTACACAGGCAATACATTAAAAAGTATTATTATTAGAGCACAAAATCCCACATGCATAATTACATATTAAGCATGCTGCACATCTTTTTGTGCTGAATGACAATGTTGTGCAACTAAGCCAAGGCAGTGAATGTGAAGTAAATGTACAACCAACATGCATCTGAGCACAAAAGCACTATATGCACAAAGCTTCCACAACCTTGAACTGAATTTGGACCATCTTCCTCTAACAAAAATATGCAACTGCTTCCATAGGGAACCTTGCTCTATTGTAAGGCCTTGAGATCACTGACCATGTCCAGAAGAAACCTTTCTTCCTCTCACATTCTCCTTTTGAAAACCGAAGAGTTCAGCACTATGGCATTGACTCCAACATTCTGATTTTCAATAGACCTTCAGAGTTCATTAACACTTTCTCTTTTGAAGCTACTAACTGCATTCTAAAAAAATTATAATGAATCTGAAACAAGTGTCTTTTAAAAAAATGCATTCCATCTTCCCTCCACTCATTTGACTATTTCTTTAATTCAGTGTTTCTCAAACTCTGCTCCTCCAGGTGGACTTCAACCCCCAGAAATCTCAGCCATCTTACCAGCTGTTAGGAATTGTAGGAAATGAAGTCCCAAACACCTGGAGGAGCAGAGTTTGAGAAACACTGCTCTAACTACACATCAAAATCCATGAATGCTTAAATCCCATTAGATATATAATGGGAAGTAAAATGGTGTCAGGCCCTCTGGTAGTACAGCAGGTTAAACCACTGAGCTGCTGAACTTGCTGACCAAAAAGTTGGCGGTTCGAATCCAAGGGATGGGGTGAGCTCCCACTGTTATCCCCAGCTTCTGCTAACTTAGCGGTTTGAAAACATGCAAATATGAGTAGATCAATAGGTACTGCTTTTGCGAGAAGGTAATGGCACTCCATGCAATCATGCTGGCCATGTGATCTAGGAGGCATCTACAGACGTCGGCTCTTCAGCTTAGAAATGGAGATGAGCGTCACCCCCCAGAGTCAGACACGACTAGACTTAACGTCAGGGGAAACCTTTATCTTTCAAAATGGCGTCCTTATATAAAATATGGAAACAATAATTGTCTCTAATAACAGGATTAACACTAGTTTTTGAGGGACTGTACATGTGAATGAAATGGGAAGACTTATTAGGTCTTGGAAGCAATAATAATAACAATAATAATAATAATAATAATAATAATACTTATTTATATTCCACCCTATCTCCCCAGAGGGACTCAGGGCAGATTCCAAACATAAAAGGCAAACATTCAATGCCCAAACACAACAATACATCCATAGTAACGAAATTTGGCAACCAAACATATAAAAACAAATTACGACTTAACAACTAAAATTAAATAAAAAACGCAGCCTGTTATAACGGACATAAGACAAAACATCAAACAAGTCTTGTACTCAAAGAAACGATAAATTATTTAATGATAAACAAAAATCAAGAAATGTTATTTTCATTAAAGATGTGTTTTACTTTCAATTTAATCAGGAGGTTATATTTCACAAGAGCAAAATACTACGTGCTATTCTTCCCATTTACATAACCTGAAAGAATTGTACAGAAAATGGGAAAGGTTCTGGATGGCAAAAACTCATCTGCATTAATTATGGGGAATGGAGGGGGAGTGATGGATAATCTTGTCTTCAGCAAACATGTTGAATGTTAAACGGCACCTTTCTTTCTCAAATCCTTCAATTCTATTACTCTTACCTGAAAAGATCGCAGATGGCCAGCCACTTTCACATATGTCCCAGGTGGTACAACAACATTTTCACTGCCTTCTTCCTTTAAAAGAAAAGATGGGAGAAACTATTGTAATAGTTTTGTTGTGTTTAGCAATAATGCTAATATATTAATTTCCTAGAACATTAAATATCTCTACATGTAAACATTCAGAAAATATGAAATAAACAGTATGAGCAATTATTTCACATTTATCTCTAACTCTAATGTTGGAAAGCTTTTTCTGGATTACAACTCTCAGACTCACTCACGTGGCATAGCCACCTGCAGTTGTAATACTTTTCTGAAGTTTTATGTCCAAAACACACTTCAAGTGCTGCTCTAACTACGCCCCTTCTACACTGCCATATAAAATCCAGATTATCTATTTTGAACTGGATTATATGGCAGTGTAGACTCATATAATCCAGTTCAAGGCAAGTAATCTGGGATCAGATCCTGGGATATAGGGCAGTGTATATCCAGTCTATGTTATCAGAGAATTAATCCTAGTGACCTTGTGAGATTCATGATCAAGAAAGGATCAGAACCTTTCCCAGGACTACTCATGTCTTTGAAGCCACTGCTTCTTGAATTGTGGGTCTCAGTCCAAAATGGGATTGCCTTAGCTCAATGTTGGGGTCCTAAAAAGTTTTCTGTATGTCACCTAGTGTTTGTTTTAGATGTACACAAATGTGTTGTGCAGTGTCTACAGGGGACTTTGCAGAAGATGCTTCAGCTGTACTTCATAAAAAGGAAAATCACCCTGTTTGTTATCAGTAAATGTTTGATTTTTATACCTGTTTTATGTACCGATATATCTGTGTTCACATAAACATTTCCTTGGGCCAAAAGGGGTAACAAGTGGAAACGTTTAACAAACCCTATTCTAAGCAATACACCACATAGGCTTCTCTCCTTAACCATACAAACACCAGCAGATACTTACATCTGTGTCAACCCATTGTCTCACATCCATTGGGCTTGCAGTCATATCATCCACTTTATATAGAATGTTTGTTGGCGCTTTTTCAGCTTGTCTGATTATGCCCACAATAAGAACCTTCAAGAAATAAACCCAGATACAACCAGTTACTGATTGATCTCACACTGTGTTGTAAAAAAACAATTTCAAGTTAAAACTCTTGCTTTCTGCATGTTATATTCTGTATATACGCATGTAAATAAAGGTCAAGGTTTCCCCTGACATTAAGTCTAGTCATGTCTGACTCTGGGGGTAGTGCTCATCTCATTTCTAAGCCGAAGAGCCAGCATTGTCCGTAGATGCCTCCTAGGTCATGTGGCCAGCATTACTGCATGGAGTGCCTTTACCTTCCCACTGAAGCAGCGCCTACTGATCTACTCACATTTGCATGTTTTGAACTGCTAGGTTGACAGAAGCCGGGCCTAACAGCAAGAGCACACTCCACTCCCGGATTCAAACCGCCAACCTTCCGGTCAGCAAGTTCAGCAGCTCAGCTGTTTAACCTGCTGCGCCATCAGGAGGCCCTATATACTTATGTATAAGTCTAGAAATTTTAGTCAAAACAATCAGCCCCCAAATCCTGGTTCAAGTTATTCACAGGTCAGCGCTAGCAGTTATATAAAAAAGAACTATTCCCTCCTAGGAAAACCTAAAAGAAACACTGACTGCATCTCTTTCTGCTGTGAAATTGCTTCTTACCCTTTTGAATGTATGGGCAAGGAGATGCTGGTTTATCCAGAGATCACATCAAAATCCATAATTTTGGACCCAAAATCTGCCCTTGACTTATACATGAGGTTGATTTATAAATGAGTGTACATGTTACTACTGCAATTTAATCCTCTTTGGCAGAAGAATCCAGATGGCTAGCACAATACACAGACTTCCCCAGGCCCATTGATTCCATAGTATATTACATATTTTATATTAAATGTAATATTATTAATAATATTACAGTATAATGTTATAGTACATTATACTATAATATTGTTAATACACAAAAAAAGTAAATACAATATATTATATTATTAATATTGTGCTATGGCAATAATATAATATATTGTATTTACTTTTTACTTGTAAGCCGCTCTGAGTTCCCTTCGGGGTTTTTTTTTTTTTTTTTGGTCGTGTCAGGAGTTACTCCTGGTGTAAGAGAATTGGCCGTCTGCAAGGACGTTGCCCAGGGGATGCCTGGATGATTTGATGTTTTTATCATCCTTGTGGGAGGCCTCTCTCATGTCCCCGCATGAGGAGCTGGAGCTGATAGAGGGAGCTCATCCGCCTCTCCCCGGATTCGAACCTGCGACCTGTCGGTCTTCAGTCCTGCCGGCACAGGGGTTTAACCCACTGCGCCACCGGGGGCTCCCCCTTCGGGGTGAGAAGGGTGGGATATAAATGTCATAAATAAATAAATAATAGTATGGGAAGGAGAATGCTTACCTGTGAAAGTTCAACTTCTCGGACCCTGAAAGCATCATCCACTTGTTCAGCTGAAAGTAACTGAGACACTGTACAAGGAATAATACTTTGTGATCTTGTCCTCTGTAATCAGGAAATATAAAAACTCAAAATCTTTACTTCCTCTATCAAAAGAACAAAAGAACACTAGAACAGGTTTTAAATCAATTTAAAAGAGAAGCAGAAGAAAAATGACACAAGAATACAGAAATACTGTATTTTTAATAATCGTCACTGGACAAGACGCAACCAAGTGATCCACACAACAATTAACTAAAGCTGTAGAGAATTCCTGAATGAGAACCAAAGATAAGCCCTTATGATTTGAAATGGCACCACTCCTTTCTATGAGGGTTTCTTAAAAAAACAACAACCACATTCTTAAGATATACAGCAAGGTGTTAGGATTTGTAAATATTAGATTACTATTGTGCATAGATCCAAAGCCAGATAATCAAATAATCATATTCATCAATCCAGGGTCAATTCCAACTGTACTGCACAGATAATTATGCTGGGCCAAGAGGGAAGCGGCTGACCGAATCCCACTAGGAGGGAGTTCCATAGTCGAGGGGCCACCACTGAAAAGGTCCTGCCTCTCGTCCCTACCAGTTGCGCCTACAAAGGTGGTGGGACAGAGAGCAGCCATTATATTCATCCTGCTGCCGATGTCCACACTACTGGAAAATTTTCCACAAAGCACTGCATGAGTCACAAAAACAAATATGCTTTTGATTTGATATATCTTAGAATTTTAAAAAAATCCAATCAGACAGAAGAAACAAAAAGTGGCAGCTATTGCCAGAACGTGCCAGCAAATAGTCCAGGATAACAAAAAAAAAAGCTATGTCGATATTTTTGTAAAATTATGAGAACTACATAAGTTCCAGAAACATTTATCCCATCTGTTTTCTTCCAGTCACCCTTAACAATTAACTCTGAAAACAAATAATACTAATGTGTTGTGCTCAGTGGAATAACACAAACATGTTATTCTGTAAAAGGAATTATTTTTATGTCTCAACATCATCTTATAAGGCCATGCTTTCAGAAAAAAAGAAAACTATTTCAAAGGAAAACCTCCACTCCCATTTCGAAAAGAAGTCCTGGCTTTTTCATGCAAGCTAATAATAATAACAACAATTTCATTTTTATACCCCACCTCAATCTGCCCGAAGGGACTTGGGGCGGCGTAAACATAGGACAAAATGTCCACAAAACATCAAAACAAAACAATCCATTAAAACAAAAAACACGATTAAAATAAAATATAGCAAAGCATAACAATCAGATAAAAACACAATTAAGTAAAACATTAAGGTATGAAACAACAGCATTAAGACTCGTTCAAACAATGAATGACAAAAAACGATAACTAAAAATACTGAGATGGACCTGATCAGGCTATAAAAAGGCATGGGATAGTGCAAAACAGCATAGCATAAGGTCGGGGATTGGAAAAAGTGCCGAGAACAGAGTACTATCTGGAGAACTAGGGACTGGGCATTTATAAGTAGAGACTAGTCATTCCCAAATGCTTGTTGGAACATCCAGGTTTTCAGATCCCTATGAAAGGAGGACAGTGTAGGGGCTTGCCTAATCTCCCTGGGGAGGGTGTTCCAAAGTTCTGGGGTCACCACCGAGAAGGCCCTCTCCCTCATCGCCACCAACTGTGCATGTGAAAATGGTGGGAGCAAGTGGAGGGCTTCCCCAGTGGATCTAAGGACCCACACCAGTTCATGGGGGAGATGCAGTCACAAAGATAGGTGCTTTGTAGGTCATAACCTGCACCTTGAAACCTACCGATTTCTTTTCATCTTGTGTCGCAGAAGGGGATGCAAAGCCTCCAGGAGATTGTGTATATCCTCCTCCTCCCCCATATGCACTGTCATAGCCACCTGAAATTCAAAAGATAAAAATAATAGGGCAAAGCTGCAAAGTTACTTTCATACTTCTCAGTCTCTGGGGTTTAAGAGTAGGGAGCAAATTGGAAATAGATCAGAAACAGGTTAAAATGTATCCATCAGTACCAACTGCACATTCTGACAGATGGCAGATGGGTGCAGGCCAGATGTCACACTTCCACCTGCGACATCAAGAGCTGGGCAAAGGAATTCAGTTATTAATTGAAATATTTATAGCATGCCCTCTGTACAGAAATCTCAGGTGGCAGGCAAGAAAAACAACACACAAATGTAAATATACATGCTAAAATTATTTATTAACTTAAAATTATGTTACGTGAGTAACAGGTTTTTAAGTGATTTTACCATGTTTTTTTTTAAAGTCTGGTTATTTCTATTTTATTGCTTCTGTGGGTTTTAATTGTATGATTTGTAATTTTAGGCACTTTGAGTCTCCATTAGGAAATACAAATAATTATAGAATCATAGAGTTGGAAGAGACTACATAGCCCATTTAGTCCAACCCCCTACTATGCAGGAAAAGCACAATCAAAGCATTCAGTTTCTGTTTTAAAGCTTTTAAGCAAGGTGCTTCCACTACATTCTGAGGCAGAGAGTTCCACTGCTGAACAGCTCTTCTTGCAGTCAGGAAGTTCTTTCTAATGTTCAGGTGCAATGTCTTTTTCTCTCATTTAAACCAATTTCTCCATTGAATATTAGTCTCCAGGGCACAAGAAAACAAGCTTGCTCCCTCTTCCTTATGACATCCTTTCACATATTTATACATGGCTATCATGTCTCCTCTCAACCTTCTCTTCTGCAGGCTAAAATACCTAGCTCTCCAAGACACTCCTCATAGGGATTCATGGTCTCCAGATCTTCAATCATTTTAGTCATCCTCCTTCCAACTTGTCAATATCTCTTTTAAACTGTGGTGACCAGAACACAGTATTCCAGGTGAAGTCTGACCAAAGCAGAATAGAGAAGCACCATGACTTCCCTCGATCTGGGCACTAAATGTGATCAAAGTAAAATGTGATCATCTCTGCCTCTAATAGATTCCCTCCAATGAGTAGTCGGGCTTTATTTCCTGAAGTGTGGACTGGTTGGGTCTTCTCAGGGTCCAAGACACTCTCAGGACTTTCCTCCAGCACCACAGTTCAAAAACATCTATCTTCCTTCGCTCGGCCTTCCTCACTATGCGGATCTTTGTTGCCAGTGTGATGTCTTTACTCTTCACTACTTTATCGAGATTGGTCATTGCTCTCCTCCCAATAAGTAAATGTCTTTGGATTTCCTGGCTGCAGTCTGCATCTGCAGTAATCTTTGCACCTAGAAATACAAAGTCTGTCACTGCCTGTTATGGTAATTTTGAATTCTGATCCTGTCCTCTGGAGTATTGGCTATCTCTCCTAATTTGGTGTCATTTGCAAACTTGATAAGCATGCCCTCTAAACCAGGCATGGGCAAACTTGTGCCCTCCCTCCAGGTGTTTTGGACTTTAACTCCCACCATTCCTAACAGCCTCAGGCCCCTTCCTTTTCCCTCTCAGCCGCTTAAAGAATGCCTTGCTCTGACCAATTCCCAGCAAAATGTCCTCAGAAGCACCTTAACTACCCATTGGGTTGATCTCCTACATTATCCTTTAAAACCCTCCTGCTTAGAGACATCCTACCTCTGTTCGCGTAGTGTTTATTTTAAAATTTTAATCTATTTATGGCCATACGTTTTTAATTTTTTGTGTTATTGCTTATATGTGAGTTATATTAATTGTACTGTTTTATTTGCTTGCTGTCTTGTTTTACTGATGTGTTGTTGGGCTTGGCCTCATGTAAGCCGCCCCGAGTCCCCTTGGGGAGATGGGTGGTGGTGGTGGTATAAATAAAGTTTTTTCATTATTAAGTCCAAAGCACCTGGAGGGCCCAAGTTGGCCCAGGCCTGTCATAGAATCATAGTATAATAGTTATACATGCCTGCTGTAAGCGTCTTTTCAAAAACTAAAATTCCCAGAAGGCCCCAAATCACAGTATTTTGCTCTGAAAAGAGCACACAAGGAGAAGCCACCCCTCCAACAGGCCTAAGACCTCAAGCAGGCCCTTCAATGGAGGGGCACTCCATCCTCCCGACATCTAGGCCTCAAGCCTTTGAGGGCTTCAACTATTTCCCCAGCTCCTTGAGTTCAGACATGTTCAAAGAAGCCCCCT